TTGTGCTAGTTCTTGTGCTACTGAGGATTTGTTCATAAAGTCTTTTCCTATGCTAATATCTTCAAGAGTTCTACCTAACTTATCTTCCAGCAAGTTTAGTGTTTCTGTTTTAATATGTGTATCTTTAACCCACTTGGATTTTAGTTTAGTGCATGATGAAAGATATGGGTCTAGTTTCAATCTTTGACAAGTTGAAATCCAGTTTTTCCAACACCATTAATTAAAGAGACTATGTTTCCTCCAGAGAGGGCATTTGGCTCCTTTGTCAAAGATGAAGTAGTTGAGCATGTCAGGAGATGTTTCTGCATCTTCTAATCTATTCCACTGATCCTTGGGTCTGTTTCTTTGTCAGTACCATGCTGTTTTTATCACAGCGGCTTTGCAGTATAGTTTCAAATTGGGGATTCTGATACCCCCTGCCATGTCTCTGTTGCCTAGAATTGCTTTTGCTATTTTAGGTCTCTTCTGATTCCAAATTAATTTTTGGATTGTTTTCTCTAGTTCTATGAAATAAACTATTGGGATTTCAATACGGATTTCACTGAATCTGTATAGCAGTTTTGGAAGTATGGCCATTTTCACTACATTGATTCTTCCTACCCAGGAACAAGGGATGTTTTTGCATTTTCTTATATCCTCTTCAATCTCTTTTTTAGAGTGCTGTAGTTTTCAGTGTAGAGGTCTTTTGTCTCCTTCATTAGATTGATTCCTAGGTATTCCTTTTTTTTTTGGATGCTATTGTGAAAGGGATTGTTTCCCTAATTTAACTCTCAGTGAGTCTGTTATTTGTGTACAAGAAAGCTATTGAGTTTTGAGTATTTACCTTGTATCCAGCTACTCTACTGAATCTGTCAAACAAGTCTAGAAGTCTTTTGGCAGAGTTCTTTGGGTCTTCTATGTAAAGTATTGTATCATCAGCAAATAATGACAGTTTCACTTCTCCCTGTCCTATCTTTATTGCTTTTATTTCTTTCTCTTGTCTAATTGCTTTGGCTAATGTTTCCAAAACTATATTGAACAGGAGTGGTGATAGTGGAAATCCTTGTGTTGTTCTTGATTTTAACATGAAGGTTTTCAGTGTTTGACCACTTAGTATAATGTTGGCTGTTGGCTTTTCATAGATAGCATTTATCAAGTTGAGATAAAGACTATTTCAATTTTCTGTAGGATTTTTATCATGAATGGGTGTTGAATTTTGTCAAATGCTTTTTCTGACTCTATTGAGAGAATCATATGGTTTTTGTCCTTGATTCTGTTAATATAGTGTATTACATTTATTGATTTATGTATGTTGAACCATCCTTGCATCCCTGGGAAAAATCCAATTTGGTCAGGGTGTATGATCTTCTTGATGAGCCTCTGTATTCTGTTTGCCAGTATTTTATAGAGGATTTTGCATCTATGTTGGGAGATTGGCCTGTAGTATTTTTTGGTGGGGGTTGGGTCTTTCCCTGGTTTTAGAATCAAAGTAATACTTGCTTCCAGGGATGAATTTGCAAGTATTGCCTCTCTTTCAATTTCATTGAAAAGTTTAAAGACTAGTGGCAATGGTTCTTCTCTAAGTGTCTTGTAGGATTCAGCAGTGAAGCCATCAGGACCTGGGCTTTTCTTTGTTGGGAAATTTTTAATTACATTTTCAATTTTACTGATTGTAATTGGAGTGTTTATAATTTTTATATCTTCTTTGTTCAACTTTCGTAATTCACATGTATCTAGAAACCTGTCCATTTCTTCTATGTTCTGCATTTTATTAGAGTACAAGTTCTCAAAGTAAGTATTAATGATTCTCTGGATTTCTGCTGAATCTGTTGTGACTTCACCTTTTTCATTCCTAATTGCATGAATGTGAACCTTTTCTTTCATTTTTTTGATAAGGTTGGATAAGGGTTTATCAATTTTACTTATTCTTTTGAAAAACCAATTATTCAGTTAGTTGATTTTTTTCATCATTCTCTTAGTCTCTATTGCATTGATTTCTGCTCTGATCTTTATAATTTCCTCCCTTGTATGAGCTTTGGGTTTGTATTGCTCTTCTTTTTCTAGGAGCTTAAGATTCAGCATTAGATTATTTGAACTTGCTCTGTTTTCCTAGTGTGGGCATTCACTGCTATGAATTTCCCATGTAAAACTGCTTTTATTGAATCCCATAGATTCCTGTATGTTGTACTGGCATTGGCATTAAATTGTTAAAATTGTCTAATTTCTTCTTTAATTTCTGCTGTGACTCATTGGTGTTTCAAGAGAGTGTTATTCAATTTCCATGTGTTTGTGAAGTTCTTATGGTTTCTTATGTTATTGATCTCCAGTTTAATTGCACTATGGTCTGTTAATATACATGGGGTAACTTTAATTCCTTTGCATACCCTTAACATGTTCCATGAGCTAGAATCTGATCTATTTTGTTTCACTATGTATTTGAGGTCTCACTATGTATTTGAGGCTGACCTGGAACTCACTGTGTAGCCCAGGATGGTCTCGAACTCACAGTGATCCTCTTGCCTCAGCCTCTGAGTGCTGGGATTACAGGCATGCACCACCATGCCTGGTGAATCTGATCTATTTTGGAAAATGACTTGTGTTCAGTCTAAAAGAATGTATATTCTGATTTTGTGAGGCAGAACACTCAATAGGCATCAATTAAGTCCATTTATTAAAAAACTTGGTTCAGATCTAGTATTTCATTGTTGATTTTTAGTCTAGATGATCTGTCTATTTGTGACAATGGGTTATTGAGGTCCTCCACTACAACGGTATTAGTGCTAATGTCATATTTCATGCCCCTTACTATTTGTTTTGTATAGTTGGGGGCATTAATATTTGTTGCATATATATTTATGATTGTCATCTCTTCCTCTTGGATTGTTCCCTTTAGAAGGATGTAGTAACGTTCTTTGTCTCTCTTAATTAGTTTTGGTTTGAAATTTACTTTGTCTGCAAATAAGATAGCTACCCCTGCTTTTTTTCAGGTTCCTGTTGCAGGGAGAACTGTTTTCCATCCTTTTACTTTCAGTCTATGCATATCTTTTTCAAGTAGGTGTGTTTCTTGTATACAGCATATTATTGGATTTTGCTTCTTAATCCATTCTGCCAGTTTTTTTTTTTTTGGATTGGTGAATTGAGGCCTTTGACAATGATGGCTATAACTGATATGTATGTCATATTATTTTCCTGTTGTTAGTTCTTTTTAAAAAATTTTTCTCTTTCTCCCTTTACTTTTGCCTTCTATTTTTACTTTTTTTGTGGGTACCTCTCCCTTTAAATTCTTGCCTATTGGATTTGTTCTGTCATGGCTCATGGAGTTGTGATCTTCATTGTATTTTTCAGGATATTTTTAAAGATTGTTTGGAGTGCTGGTTTGGTATTCATGAAGTTTCTCAGTAATTCTTTGTCATGAAAATACCTTACTTCTCCATCAATTTTGAAAGATAGTTTTGCAGGATATATCAGCCTAGGTTGGAGGTTGTTTTCTTTTAAACCTTGAAATACCACTCTCTAGGGTCTTCTTCACTTGAGGGTTTGTATTGAAAAGTCAGGTGTGATTCTGATGGGCTCTCCTTTGCATGTAAGTTGTTTCTTTTCTCTAACTGTGTATAGTATTTTGTACTTCTGTTGGGTTTCTGGAATCTTGATTATTATATGTCTAGGTGTAGATTTTATTTTATTGTAACTAGTTGGAATCCTATATTCCTTGCTTATCTGTACGTCAAGTTCTTTTGCTCTGTTTGGGAAGTTTTCTATCATTAATTCTGTGAAGAGTTTTTTTTTTTTTACATCATTTGTGCTTTCTCCTGCTTTTTGTGGACTCCTATTAATCTTATATTATTCTTCTTTGTGTCATCTAGGGGTTGTTGGATTAATTTATCATGGTTCCTTATTATTTTTAAGAGATTTCTCTTTTCAAGGTCACTGCCATCCTATCTTCTTTATCTGATATTCTGTCTTCAGTTTGGGTTAGTCTGCTACGTATACTTTTAACAGAGTTTTTAATCTCCTGGATATCAGTTTGAATCTGTTTCATGGATTCCATTTCTTTCTTATGTTGGGCATTCATGGTGTCCATTCCTTTCCTATGATGAGCATCTGTGGTTTCAATCATGGACCCGAACTCATCTATTTTTTTTATCTGTGTCTGTTCTAGAGTTTATAATCATGTCTTTTATCTGGGAAATTGTTTTGAGTAATTCTAGAGCCTCATTCACGTTTTTTTTACTTCCTGTGCTAACAGTTCAGATTGTCCAGGTGACTGATTATCAGACTTTCCCATCTCATTTCCCCCAGAATTTGCCTTTGGTAAGCTGGAAGACTGTGTCTTGTTTAAATGTCTTTTCATTTCTATTATTGTTGCTGGTATAGTCCTTGGATTAATTCCTTAGTTGATACTTAGATATTATGTATTTGTAAGTATCTTTGTTGCTAGTATTTAGAAACCTTAAGGAATGATTGCTTCTTGGAGTAGTCTTCCAGACATACCTGGTCTTTAGGATTTGATTCTCTAATAACTCTGGGCAATCTCATTTTCATTGTACCAGGAAAGATAACAGATTAGATCATCACAATACTAGCCCAAGTGATAAAATCAGCAACAACAATAGAACCAAACACAGCTTAGAAAATGGCAATTTGTGGTAGTTATTAATCTATCATCTTGAACTCCGTGAAATAAAATGAAATTGAAGACTATCCCAAATATGTTTATAATGAATAAACTGATCAATATAGTAACTTTAACCTTCAGGACTGGGATGTAGAAGGAGTAAGGCCCTCTTACTATTCACTTATGCTCTAGCTGAGGGCAATGGCCATTAAGACTCCATGTGCTTTTGAAGTTTAAATGAGAATCAAGGGTAGCCAGGAAACCAGAAGTGGGTGGGCTGCTGGAAGTACCTGCATGGCTTGGGTCCTCGCCGGGTTTCCACTGGTGGCACATTTAACACACATGTGTGCGTGGGGTTGCACTCTTGCTCTCATTCAACGTTAATATAAAATGTTCTTTTCTGCAGCTTTTCCCCATGGTGAGGCTTGGAGAGGCCTTGAGCCAATCCCACAGCAGGAAGCTTGGTGCACAGGAAGATGCCGACCCTGTCTGAGCCCCAGGGTGCAGACCCAGTGCAGGAGGTGGGCTGTACCAGGAGGTGTTACCAGCCTTGCCCTCAGGGATGACCCAGCTCTTCTCTTTAGGCCATTTGGAAGGTTCTCTCTGCTCAGACACCATGTGCATGGTGCATCCTCCATGCCATCAGTGGCAGTGGGTCCTGGGCAGAGCACTGAGCCCAGCTGTGAACATTCGCACCCTCAAAATCAGAATGCATGGAGAGGCCTCCATCCAGAGAGGAGTGATGATCAATCTTGATGTGATTATGGACATATAAATAAACAAAGGACATAATTTCTTCTGCAGCCTGCCACGGTTCTGTGAGTGTGAGTGGGCATGCCTGGCCCCCACCCCAAATTACACCTCAATCAGTGTTAAAAGGCACCTGACATTTCACGCTGATTTATGTATTAACCTTTACATCCAGCATAGAGCGTGCTGATTGCTTCCATCAGCTGCGCTAGCGGCGGCAGCTCTGAGGGGCCTTCCAGGGGCTCTTCTTACCGCAGCCAGGCTGAGGGGTGTCTTGGAAGATAGGAACTCACATGTGGAGACAAGAGTGAAGCCCTAGCTATGTCCCCTATTTGGAAGCCCTCCAGGAAGTTCCTTTGCTTTGTAAACTCAAGTCTCTGCACAGAATGGATGTTTCAAAATATGCTACATCTTTTTCTATGCATTTGTGAGTCTGCAGGCGATGGCACCTCATCCAACCATGCAGCGAAGGGCTGAGTGAGTTCCTGGGACTCCACTGAAGCTCCGAGGTTAACTCAGGTGGACAGCTCTTCCCACTCTGGCACATCAGGGACACCACACCCTGTACACAGGTGCACACTCATGCACACCTGGCCACACCCTCATTACAATCCCACATGTGCACACCCACACATACTCACACAAGCATCCACTCAATCCACATTGGGAGCACCCACCCCAATCACAGATGCTCTCAAAGGCACATCTCACTTGCACACTCATCAGATGTGCACTCATGGCTCTGAGCATGCACATCCCTAGCCTCCCCAAGCACAGTGAGAAGTGTGGGTCTGCTGGCCAAGCTCAGCACACAGTAGGTGGTGATGTCCAGATCCCAATCACCTGAAGGCCGCCCCCAGCAGCACAGAGACCAGGAGCATGGTACCCAAGCTCTGCTGGCTATCAGGAGCTTGTGAGGTGCAGGCTCCAGGCCACCTGGCCCTGTTGACCACTGACCCCTCTGCAGGCACCTAGAGAATCCTGACTCTGTGGCTGGTCAGCCTTGTCTCCACACAGGGCTATGACCTGGGCTTTTCATATGACCTGTTCCACTGTCTTATCAGTCATGTCTGTCATTATGGATGTATTTCTTGGGCCAAGCATTTATCTTCCATTATTAAGCAAATATTGAAACACTTTTGTATAGATTGACAAGTCTTCCGTTTGAAGTATGATTCAAGTAACATTGCCCAAAGCCAGATAGAGCGTGATTGGTGCCAATAGCTGGAGACCAAGGTGGGCTTCAAGGACTTGGATGCTTCTTTACTCCATCAAGGGTCTGCTTTCTGTCTGCTGCTTATTCTCTGACATGTTTTCCCTGGGCAGTCCTAGACAACCATATCCACCCTATGGCAGAAGCCCCAATGCTGGGGATTCTTACATCGATTTTGGTCATGTGATACCAGGCCACGTGATTACCTTCAGGAAAGGGGCAGCCAGATGGTGTGGCCACTTGTCTACTTGTCTACTTGTGGCGACTTGTCAGCCCTGCCCAGCATGGACAAGGTGAGGGCCTGACCCAACAAGGAGTGGTGGGCTCCAAAGCTACGTGTGTCCTACTGAGGTTTCTCGGACAGATGAGAGGCGAATAGAAGGAATACAAGCAGCCTTAAAGGCTAGGCAGGGAAATGTTAGGGGCCTAACTTTGAGATGACCTGGAAGTACTTCCAAAGCTCACACACTTCTCCGATACTATGGAAAGGAGCTGTACACCCTCAAGGGACAGTGGATGGCTCTTGGCATGTCCTCTCCAAGTCTTTGTTTCCCTATCTGTAGCATGGGGATCAAATCTACCCACCCAATCTTTCACATAGCTGGGATAAGGATGTGTGTGAGTGCTGAGGACTTGTGGAAAGGAGTCTCACATCTGGAAGGGGTTGGTTAACTTTGTTCTGAATGGGGTCAGTGAGCTTCTCGGGTTCAGGTCCTGACAGGCAACTGGGGCACAGGCAGTGTCCCTAAGCAGCCCAGTGGGGCCAGCTCTAGTGGAAGACATGGCCTCCAGCCCAGTGGGGCAGCTGTTTTGGGGGGACTGCCAAAGTTGTTGATTCTCCCACTGGCCCTGGGCCCAGAGAGAGCTCTGCAGAGAGATCTTAAGCCAGGGGCTCCCTGGCCCACATCTGGCCATGCCAGTTCATTTAAACAGGAACAATGGGGAAAAGTGTTCCAGATTTTCAGAAACTCTGGGTATATGTGCTCCCTTTGGCTTTGGGCTGGGATACCAGATTTTGTCTGTGCTACTCCAGATCAAGGATTTTCTGGAGAAGCATTTAGCAGGTGGGTGTTACAGCTCCAGGCTGGGCAGTACAGGAGCAGGCTGAGGGCTATGTGTGTCTGAGAGCTCCCGTGCTGAGTCTGTCTCCTGCCTCTCTGGTTGGGTGGCAGCAGGAGCCGCAGAACAAGTGTGGCCTCTGCTGTCCCTGGCCTGGAGTCATAAGCACTGAGCAGGATTCTGCAGTCCTGGAGAAGGTGAGGTATCCCCATCATGTAGCTGCTGCGTTACCACCATATCCAGGAATGGCCAGATGGCTGTGCTCTACCTGGGGCCATTGGAGGGCTTGGATGGGGCAGCTGCATCCCAGAACCTGAAAGCCAAATGGGTTTTTATGAGGCTGAGCAGATGAGAGAGGCATTGCCAAGGTGGAGCTGTGAGTATGAGGGCATGACAGCGGCAGCTCAGACCCTGCCAGCAGCCTGGGCTCAGCAAGGTCCTTTTCCTCTCCCTGCCTGGGGACAGATGAGGCAGGCATTCTCACCTGCCCGGCACATGGTGTGTTTCACATGCAACATGCTGTGTCTGTGCACATGCATGCATGTGCATGTGTATGCAGTCCATACATGCATGATGAAGTGCATGCTGTGCATATCTGTGCACAGCCTGGGCTGGCTGGGCCACCGAACTTGACAGCCACAGATGCAGGGTGAGCCTCAAGTCTGGCCCAGGACTGCATGGGACAGTTTCTGCCTCCCCTGGAAGCAACTGGGGTGGGAATCTGGGGGAAGCTTGGTCTGGGTTTGGTCATTGTGCAGTCCTGGTCCCCCCACCCCATCAGAGGAGGGTGCTGTCTGAGAGTGTAAGTGGTGGTGGTGGGGAGGGTCATGTTCCTGTGGATCTGTCAGGAGGAGCTGTCACATTACAAGGGGTTCTCAGCCTCCCATGATTCCTTGCACGTTTAGCTGTAAAACTTCCCAGTGCCATGCCCGGGCCACCCCTTTACAGGATGCTAACCACTCTTTCTCCAGCTCCCACTCAGAAGGACCCTCCACCTGGACTCCACCCCAGTGCCAGCCTTCCTCCAGTGCCAATTCCTCTGGCTCTGAGTACAGGCTGCTGCTCTGTAGCCACCTCCTGGGGTCAAAGTTTGGATTCCCCAAAGCTGAGCCCTCCGGTCCACCCCAGGTCCTGCCTGGGAGCAAAGCAGCCCCTTTTTGTTCAGGCCACAGTCTTCAAGGCCCAGTATGGGAAACCCTGCATCTGGGGTCTATAGGAAGGTCCTGTCCCTCTCTTGGGCCCAGCCTTGGACAGGGTTCCCTCCCTCCACACCTTGTCACTGTACAAGACCCTGGACACACAGTTGTGCACAGCTGTGGTGCAGGCCTGCCGTGTGCTGTTCAGAGGAACATGGAGAGATGCTGAACACAAATTGCCTAGGTGAGTCAGCTGTCCCTCTCTCTCCAGAATTCAATATCATAAGAGAGCTGTCCAATCCTCTCTTCTTATCCAGCTCAGGGGCACACACTGCGGTCACCATCTGATGTGCTTTCCAAATTCTTCACTGTCGACCTCCAGAGCTGGTTGGATTTGGAGGGTCAGAACGAGCAAGTGGTTTGAGCCCCAGGTTGGAAGGAAAGATATGGCTTCGGAGCAGGGTGCTAAAAGGTAGGGGTTTGGCCTTGTGGGCCTTGAGGGAACACTTGATGGATGACAGCGCCCAGGACAGGGCAAGTGTGCTAGGGGCTGGGCAAGGTCAGGTATGTCACCCTGTGTTCATCAGTAAAGGCTCCTGACTGTTTCTGTCACCGGCACTCCACACAGAGTGCAGGGCCAAGTTGACTAAAGTTCAAATGTTCCCTCTCAATTTCCTTTTCCTTTAAAAATTGTCATAGCTGAGCGACCTCTCTGTGTTATTATAAATCTAATACCACAAGTTTCAGTTGAGTGAACTCGCATCTTATTTGGGATCTGGGTCTACAGTTGCCTAAAGCTGGTGGGAATGTAATTGTACAGACGCATGTAAGGACTGTTAATTGTGTCGCTGAGGCACGGACCAATGGGCTTCTGTGGGTCCTGGGGACCAGCTCTCCAGACCACTGGGTGTTATGTGTGAGGTGAAAACATGTAATTCTGCATGTGTTTATGGATTGTTAATTTGTCTGGATAGAGAATCACATCACAAGCCATGGGCCCACACACTTCTGAGGTGCTTCCTGCAAAATCACGCGCCAGGCTAACCCATGGGTGGGAGGAGGACATCGGCGCCCCCTCCCCAGAGTGTGTCCCTGCACAGTGAACTCAGTGGCTGCACTGTGGGCCCAGGGAGGGGGTTAGGCTGCATGTGTGTGGACATTCAACCCCTGACTTGCCCTCCCCGCAGTGGCCACAGCCAGTGGATGGTTCCTGTGTTCCCTTGGTGAAGGGATTTGTGCCGCACCCAGAATGGGCATGTAGACACCTGGCTGGGAAGGTGCTGGGGCCAGAGCACTGCTACTTGCCGTGAAGGGAGCCGTGGAGTCTGCCCGGCCAATTCACAGGTATCCTGGGACAGGCAGAGGGGCAGGGTGGGCAGAGAGATGTAATAAGAACCATGGCTCGGGCTGAGATTTCCCTGTGTCTCCTCTGTGGGTGGCCCCAGAGAGGAGAACCACATGAGGGTAGGGACAGCCCCAGCAGCCCGCCCGGAGCTGTGCTCTCGGCCCTGACACGGGGCTTCCTGCACACAGTGAGGGCAGAGCAGGGGCCTGGAGGGGGAGGCCTGATGTGAGGATACCTTCATGCTGTCTCCCAAACCCAGATGACTGGTTACTGTCATAGCAGGTCCCCAAGTGTGACTGGGGGCCTATCCTGTTGGACAGGTGGGGCTGAACTGGGGTTCAGACAACTCCCCAGGTGTGCAGCCTCTTCTGCCTCTCCCGTAAATCTCATTGCACCCTGTCACTGACTCCTAGGGCCCTTGCAGATGACAATGCTCAGAACAGGACTGGACATGCAAGAAGCACTTTGCAAACACCTGGTCCAGCTTCTCTGAGGCCACCTGGCTGGGTACAGGAGCAGTGAGGTGCCCTAGAGCAGCTTCTTTTTCCTGGACTTCAGGGTGAGTCCACTCCTGCTCTGCACACAGTGCAGGGGTGAGGGGGGGCCACCCATGTGTGCGGTTCCCCATACATGGATGGTGTCCACGTGGCCCACTGCTCTCACTGTGTTCCTGAGGCCAGCTTCCTGGGTGAGTGGTTCCACAGTGAGTCCCTATAGGGCCTGACCACAGACTTTGACCTGCTTTCCCGCTGTTATGGGTCAGGTGTTCAGATGGGAGCCTCAATATCATTCTGGAGGGCCCCACAGTGCTTGGACACTGTGATAACTCAGGGTCTGTTGCCATAAATAAATTGTGCATCCACTTTAGGAAGGCTCCCCTGTACCCCATTTCCTCCACTGATTGGGAGGTGTGGCCAAGGTGGGTACCCTCCCTCACTGCGGCAGGTCCCTCCTGGATGGGGTTCTTAGGCAGCTCTGTTCCTGGAGACCATGAAGTAAGAGTAGACTGTTCCTCAGCCCCTGAGCCTCCTCCCCACCTACTAGGAGACACAGTTAAACTGCCAGGGGAGACATCTTTAAATCTCCTCAAACTGAGGCTGGAATTCCAGGCTGGCAGGATTGGACTTTGAAAATCTGAGCATCACTAGGTGCTCAGACACCTGTCCTCAGCCAGGAAGGGAGATCGGGAAACACCCACCCAGTTGAAGCCTGCAGCAAGGGAAGCAGGCAGGCGGGTGCAGGCAGAGATGGGTGGGAGGTTCACATGGCAGGGGGAGGAGACATAGGCTGCTGCCCCCCTCCCTCTTCCCTGCAGCCACATAGCCCACAAGATGGGAAACAGCTTTGCTCTGCGGGAAAATCCAAAGCAGAGGGGAGGCTGCCCAGCTCCCAGGAGCCAGGTGGACCACTGAGAACCCCCAAAATAGGCCACAGCAAGTGGAAAACACCCTGGCTGCCCTGGCTACCTTAAGGTGGCCCTGTCTCCTGGCCTGCCTGCTGGGTGAGAGGTGGCCACACCAGAGGACAGAGGGTGGGGTCCCTGGAAAAGAGACAGGGAGTCCTAGGCTGCTGCAGAGAAGATGGTATCTGGGAATTTCAGGGGGTCTCACACCCTAGGAACCAGTCTGTACACTACCTCCTCCGAGTCTCAGGGTCAGCTCCTTATGGTGGGGCCACACTATGTCCTGTTGGGCAGGGCTCTGGGTGGCAGTGGCAGGTGGCTCCTCTGAGGACACATGGCTGCAGGGCTCCTAGCCAGGGATCCTCTTCCCCAGGAGGCTAGGGCCTCTATAGAGCCAAGGCTACTTTGGGGCAGTGGTTCTGGGTGGGCAGACTCGAGGCTCGGCTGGCCTTCAAGTGCGTCTGGGTCTGGAGCCCTGCCTCAGGATGGGACAGGTCAAGGAGAAAGGCTTGGGGACAAGAGTGAGAATGTGGTGCCTATGCTGAAGTGACCCGGCCACATAGAGGCCTTATGAGACAAGGCCCAGTGCTGGAAGCTGGACTCTCCTGCTGGACTCCATAGCAGCTTGGCACACCAGAAAAAACAGCAGCAGCCTGGCATGGACACGGGAGCTGCATCTCAAAGAAGTGGTCAGTCTTGCTTGGAGTTGGGGGCTTCTCACACATGGTTCCTTCCCGTGCCTCTCTGCAGCCACACTGGCCGTTGTCCATTCTGCAAGCCCCAGACTCCTGCCCACCACAGGGAAGGGGTTACCTTAAGACTTTGGCCTGCCGTGGCCTCCTGAGAACCCTGTACCCACCTCTATGTGCCTGATTTTTGTCAGATCCACATGACCACAACCACGGTTTGTTCACCCCCCATCATGCTGCTCGATGGCATCCTGTACTCTGAGGTCCACAGTTGCCCCAGTATGGTTTGTGAATATTTGCCGAATGAATGAGCGACAGCCCCCAAGAGGGAGTCCAGACCCAGGGGAGAGCAGGGTGCAGGAGTCCATTCCAGCCTGGTGCAGAGGAAGGTGTCCAACCACCTGCGGTCAGCTGAGGAAGCATCTTGAGAGATGTGGTGGTGCTGGACCCAAATGGTCAGAAACGGCAAAAAGTGCCTTGCACTGGGCACCTGGCCATCTCCCTCCACTCTTGGGAAGGGTGGGTGGTGGGAACTTTCTGGGGCTCTTCTGTAACCCTGTGGCATTGGAGAAGCCTCGGCCCACCTGCTGTGAGAAGGGACACCCTCAAATCTCCTGGTGGCTCGGAGAATGAGTGCACAGCCAGTGCTGCCCAGCCCGGGAACTTTGGTTGGGACTATGGTAATTTGCACACATTTCCCCTGAACCCCGCTCTGCAGCGCCTCCCAACTTTGTTAATGGAAACCTGGTGATCCATGACGCGAGAGTGGCAGACATCTGCTCCCGGGTAATGTGGTGGTAATGTACATATCGATGATCAATCTGCAGATTTGCAAGAGAGGCATAAAGTATTTAATTATAATTGCGTTGGGCAAGGCTGCGTAGTGGCAGCGACATTTGAATAGGTCACAGCCAGCCCTCACCCCTGTTATGTTGTTGGTATTAAATGCCATTCACTCCAAGGGCTGGGAACATTTCTGAAGTCGCAGGATATCACACACTGGCAAATTGAAAATGTCCCTCTGCTTTTAAAAACATGATTGATATCCTTTGCAAAGCAAATGCTACACCTCAGAGTACATAGGTTCTGCCTGGTGCCGCCCCTTGCCTCCAAGTGGCTGCCCAGGTGGCGTGTGGCTGTGATCGTGTGTACAGAGGGGACAGTTTACTAAGAATTCCTCCAGCTCTGAGGCTATAGCCTCCAAGGAGTGGCTGTCCTGCATAGAGCAAAGGGTTTTTCTGTTTCAGGTCAGGCTTTGCTAGCTAGAACAAAGTTCAGGAAAAAAGCAAGAACCCAAAAAATGAAATGGAAATTTTATTTGCTCAGTTGGTACCAGAAAAAAATATATCTTTGGACAGTCCCTGTGCCACACATCTATGTATAGTACTATGTGCATCTCACCACCATCTAGATCATGTCTAGTATAATTTAGATCAATGCTGTAGCACATCCAACCAAGGAATGTAAGTAGGAGGACTGCAGACAAACACAACACACACAGGACAGACACGCACACATGCATGCATGTGGCCATCTGACACCCTGAACAAGCACCACAGCAAGGAGATTTGCAGATCCCATCTATAAAATGGGCACGGAGTGGCAGCAGCCACCTGCAGGGCTGGCATGTGGGCCACAGACTTGCCTGGCTGGCACAGGGATCCCACCAGGGTGCTGGCATGTTCCCAGCAAAGAGTTCTGGAAATGAGCAGCTGGCCATTGCAAAGGAGAGGTGTCCCGTCACTTCTGCTTTCAGCAAACAGCAAGGAAGTTGCCCCTTCTCCTGTAGACCCAGGGGTGGTTTCCAGCACAGGCTGGGCCTGGAAGCCAGGGAACGGACATCTCACCCTTGTTTTTCAAGCATTTGTTAGGAATGCTTTCTTCCCTCTTTCCAAAATGATGAAAAGAACATGCAGAATCTCTATTTACAGGGTAGATGAGCAGTGGAATACTTGGAGTTAATGAAATGTCAGGACTTCCGAACAGAAATGCCACCAGGGCCAAGCAAGTCTCTGCTTGGCTCTGTCTCTGCTGCCTGCCCATCTTCATGCACACCCAGCCTGTTCTTAAGAGTCCTATAAAGCAAGACAGCAGTTTCCAATCCAGACAGCCAGCCTCGTTGGGTATGTTTTTGTCGCTCACAGAATTAACCAATCTTTGTCACCTAGCGAATCAGATTAGGTGTAATCCATACTAATGTTCAAATTAAGTCATGGAAAGCAATTAACTCTGCACAAATGGGCTTGTAAAAAATGATCAGGTTAGTCAAATAGTTTCACTGTGTGCAATCGTGTTTTTAAAACTTCCCATCTAACCGCTCCTCTCTACTAAGTAATTAAATCATTTACATTTCAAATGGAGTATACTTACTTGGGCTGCTCACGAACCTGCACCTTGCTGTATAGCAGCACTGGCAATAGCCTGCTAGAACACCCGCTTCTTCAAGAAACAGCCCAGGCTGAATGGGGGCCTACTCCCATCTCGGAACAACCAAGAAGACTTTACTCCAGTGTCCCCCCAAATTTGGGCCCCTCCTTCCCACCCTTCCTTCTTCTCTCCTGTGTAAAAACTGCAAGGGCCTTTGAAAATTGTTACCAAAAACATTCTGTCAATGCACAGGATAGGTTCATCCTTTCCCATCGACCACATCATATGAACAGGGACCCCATCCTAAACGTGGGAGTCACTGCTCTTCATGGACCGATGAATGTCTGTCTCATGTTTGCTGTTAGCTTTATGCACACGGAAGGTGCTAGCCAGCTTCACCAGCTGCTTACTGGGCACACCAGCAACTTTGGGACAGGTTGTCCATGCAGCCATATCTCACAGGACCTGGAAGGAAATGCTATCTGACTCCAGAGAACAGTCTCTTGGTTTTACGCCTCAAAGCAGGTGCTCCATGAATCCACAGCAAACCCTGAAGTCAGGCAGGAGCCAACAGGTTACCCTACAAGGAACTTTCTCTGAATGGATAAAGTCTCAGAGTCACAGTAAATACCTCTTATGAGAAGGTCTCTGCATCCCCTCCACCCTGGGGTGTCAGCTGGGAAGTCTGAAGACAGGGATATACGGGCTTCTTGGTTCCAGGTGGGGCTGAAGTCTGCTTCTGGGGGAGGATCTGGACCCCGGGCTGATTCTGCAGCGCAAGGGCTGCTCTCAGCCCGGACTCACACTGCCCAAAAGCAGAGACTCCTTTGCTGGGGTTCCAGCGAAGGGCCTCTGCCCTCCTGCGCGTGACAGGGTGACACGAACCCTGGGAACGGGTCTGGTGCAGACAGGATGTAGTCGATGCTGAACTTGATTTCCCGGCGGGTGTCATTTCCCAGGGCGGGTGGTGCTGCGGGCTGGCGGCAGGGGGCGCGGTTCAAGGCGGTCTCCAATGGACCCGGGGGTCCTTCTGCGCTCCCTGCCTTGGACCCTTCGCGCCGGGGGCCGCGTCGCCGTCGCCGACGCCGGAAGTTCCCATTCTCGAAGAGGTCAAGCAGCGACTCGCAGCCGCCTGCGAACGTCCAGTAGTTGCCCTTGCCCTTGGCGTGGCCCTCGGTTCGCGGCACCTGCACGGGGTGGGGTGAGGTGGGGGGTGGCGGGGTTCTCAGAGCGGCGGGGGGATGGTGGCCCGCGAGTGCAGGGGAAGCTTCCCAGGGTCACCAGGAATGACGCGCCCCGCTGTCCCCAAGCCGGGACAGGGCAGGGTGTGGAAGTGGGGGACTCACCTTGACGAAGCAGCTGTTGAGCGACAGGTTGTGGCGGATGGAGTTCTGCCAGGCGCGCTGGTTGGCGCGGTAGTAGGGGAACTTGCTCATGATGAAGTCGTAGATGCCCGACAGCGTCACCCTGCCCGAGGGGCTCTGCTGGATGGCCATGGCGATGAGCGCGATGTAGCTGAGGACGGGCGACAGACGCGCTGGGGCCCCGGGGGACACGGGCGGGCGCCCCACCCACGCCCGGAGGTCCCCCAAGTGAGCAGCACCGTGCTTTCCCGAGCCCCTCTTCCCTGCAGGTCTAGGAGAGAGTCCCTTCTGTCCCCAAGCCCCACCGCCGGTCGCGGTCGTCACCTGTACGCGGGTCGCGTGAGCCGCTTCTCCTCGTCAGAGCTGCCGGCCGGGTAGTCGTCGTCGTTGTCGTTGAAGCAGTTGTAGGGGTACTGCGAGCTGTCGAACATCGCGGCAACTCCTCAGCGCCGCTCGCAGCTTCCGTGCAGAGTCCCGGCCAGCCCAGCCGACTCTGCAGCG